CATATTTCGTTAAAAGGCCAAATAAGGAATTCAAACCAAAAAAATAAAAATTTCTGTTTTGTTTTGTATTTTTGGATCAGGTTTTAAAGGGTTAAGACTAAACAAAGAAGAAGAATTTCAGGTGTGCACAATAAAGGAAAAAACAGAAACTGAATCAATATCTTAGCTCAAAGTTAACAATAAAATAATTATATAAAATATAATAATAATAATTATGTATATCTTTTTAAATTATTAACATATATATTATAATTATGTAAAATAATACAATAATTTCCCTCTGGGATTATTAAAGTATTTATGATCTGATTAAAAACAAGAAATGGTGTCCTTTTTACAGATATAGCAGCTGGACGTATGGTCTTGTTGTCTTTCTCTCTTCTTCTTTTTTTATCATTTATTTTTATTTATTTAACTGCTCTTATTTCTTCCCTGTCCCTCTGTCAGGTTAAGCATTATTGGACACGTGTAAGTTTGGTAACAAAAATGAATAAATAAAGCAGTTTTGGGTGATCGAGGGGGGCTTCTCACTAACAAAGCCTCTCTTGGTAAAGCTATTTTGTTCTGCATAGCACGGTACTCAGATTTCAGTTCTGATTAATTAATGCTAAACAGGACAAAAAATAATAATAGAAATAAATAAAAAACAGACTTCAGATGTTATCAAAACTTTAAACTGACTTAATTATAAATATGTACTCAACTGGTGGCTATATTGTTTCTGAGTTTGATATAATTAGAAGAAATATTTAGATTATAATTTCTCTATTGGATTATTAAAGAATTTCTGATTATCTCAATGAATAAAGCGAAACGTTCCCATGCGCACGTGAGTCCCCATTTGCTAAAGCTAGCTTCTTCTGTTCTTCCCACTTTTACTCACCACCAAGAGGGCTGGTGAGGATTTTTATCGCGGATATGATGGCAGAGGTCATCTTAAATGGTTATTTTCATATTCTGAGGCGGGAAAGGGATTCAAATCCTTGTCCATCAAACGCTAGCTAAACCGGCTCACGCCCGAAAAGCTAAAAACAATTCAATCTGACGCTGACGTTACGTCATCACTCAGCGTCCGGGTGATGACGTGATTGGCTGGCGCCGAGCTCCATTCACGGAGCCACTGTAAATGGAGTTTCAAAGCTGAGAAACAAAATACGGAGTAAAAATAAAACAAAATACCTGGCATACCGTTTGGTAAAAATGGTAAGCTTTAAAAAGGACAAAAACAATCTCAGT